AATGGATGCAAGGAAACGAATCGAATGTGAGAAGTGCTGGGATCCCTAAGGCAGACGTGAACAACGAACGCGCTATTGTCCTTTCCGGGGAGTAGCGCGTTCACCACCACACCATGCCGGTCCTTTGTTTTCCCTGTCTCTTAGCTAGTTCTATCGATCTCTGCCATCTGGGGAGCCCAAATCGGCAATGAACCCACTTAAATTGAGGCTTTAGTTATAATCACAATTGCCAATTTAGGCTCCCCAGATCAAACCCGCTGAAGGGTGATTGCTGATGGCAGAGATCGATAGAACTAGCTGAGAGACAGGAGAAACGAAGGACCCACGTGGTGTGGTGGTGAACGCGTTACTCCCCGGAAAAGACAATAGCGCATTCGTTCCTCACCACATACACCTGCGGCCCGGAGTTTTGCAAATATCTCAGCATTATTGACGTCATATTTCGCAATATACCCTGCCGTTAAAAAGAGTAGGCAGTAAATAAAAACGGTCAAGATAAAAAATTGTACATTTCACAAGTGGAATTAAAAAAACGGAATATTCATGACAAGTTATTACCAATGCAATTCCCATCTGTTTCGCAATTGTCTTAAGAGACAACATTTTGTTTTTCTCAAATTTTCGGAAATATCCAAACTAAGGGCTTTCTCAGCTCGTCACCACCAGCTGTCACCGGTGCTTGTGAATCCGGAGCAGATTTGCCACCTTGTCACTCGCTTTCCGACAGGACAGCAGTGATCTATGGTTTTGACTTAGCCTTTTGGGATTATAACAAGAAACCCGTTTTTGCTCAGGTTACCTTGCTTGGGTGGATATGACGTAGTGGTCGGAGGTGCCCTTCAATACATATAGGTTCGATTTCTGCACCCGTCACCCACCAAGCCTTCCATCCATCCGGGGTCGCCAAATTAGTACCAGACTTGTCTGGAAAGAGTCATTGTAAAGACCAGATATGCATTCAATCAGCTCCAAACGATGATTAGTGAACTCGAATGCATGGCGCTTCTCTAAGAGATTAATCAACTCCGAGAGCTTTATCCTTTACCGTTCACCTTGCTAGGGATGAGGACCTTCTTAACATAATAACTCGACACCATGGAACACCCCTAATCACGTTAAGCCTGTTCACTTCATTATTTGCTAAAATACATTCATCTTAAGAAACAGTGGCGAATGAGCAAATAATTCCGGCTCAAGTGGGTATAGACAAAAACCAGTGAACGAGAAACTAGTAAACTGAAACGAATCGTTTCAGCGTTTCTGTAAATTGCGTGACGTCGAAAAATTCACTTTCATGTAGGGCTTTTTCCTCAGCGTTTATGTGGACTTGAGCAGGCTTGAGACAGATCGCACTCGACGTGTTCCGTCTGACAGCCTTAAACCAACTGTCGAAGAACTGCCTTCACTTTGACCATTTTTGTTCAGTAATATTTTTGCTTTATAGGTCATTTTAAAGTCAAGTTACTTTCATGTTAGGAAGCAGTCGTATGCATTGTAGTAATTCCCATGTTTTACGTACCCAGTTGTTTCTATACGTTCGATCTCGTTCAGTGCGATTTAAAACCATTGTCATAGCGGTATGAATAGCTATGCTAAGAGTATAGTTAGCAGTAAGAGGGTTGTAATGACGATGTCATGTCCTAGTCTAATTCAGTTCGACTTCCGATAGATACCGCAGAAGCTACGACCTCAACAGCAATAATTAAACTCTCCATATTAATCAGTACTTTCCAAATATCCACAGTGTTGTATCCTGACCAAGGATGACCTCAGTGAAAACACTGAGAGCAAAACGTTTCATTTGAGATGTGCTATAAGTGAAGAACTCCAACATCGTTGTAGCGTAGTTGTCCAGCATGAGTGGAACGCATTCACAGGTGAGTTTTCGGGTTTAAGTGGAGCGAACTTTGGATTATTATCGTAAAGTTTTTTCTTGATGTCAATTGATACACGAGAATTCCGCTACTTTTCTCCTTGTTGGTTTCTTTCCGCACTTGATGTCCGAGGATTCAGTAACTTTTGAGTAGAAATATTTAAAATTAATATTACTTCGTAATATGCTTGGTCGCTTAAAAACACTGGTTCCATTGATAAGTCTACATAAGGTTGACAAGAAAGTCTACTCGACCGACATTTCTTCGCCCTCGACTTCTCCAAAGCTCGAGTGAACACAATCTATTGTCCACAGTCGTCCCTTCTTCCGACGTGGTCCTTCGTAGTCGCATGGAGTCGGATCTGACAAATTCATCCTGGTGCAGTCGGTATCATTATCAGCAAGCACAGAGCGCAACATCAAAAACCGGCTTTCCATTAACATCAGCATGACCAATCAACATGTGGGTTTTTCCACTGATAAGCTCTGCGGGTGAGATTACTTGCTACGGGCGTGTTCCATTAGATTCAACTTGATGCAATGAGGAATACCCGCATCGGAACAAGAGTCAACTGTGGACAGTCGCTCCGGAGCAATCCTGCTCTAAAGAAGGTAAAGCGCCGAAACGTTAACCAGATAGAGTTTTTACCACCCTTTGGTTCATTTGGAACAGAAACAGCTATAGAGGTTCCGGACATCCAAAGCATCCTTATTTCGTTTCGGTGAGCTCTGTAACAATCTCGCAAGCAGAGTATCAATACCATATAACGGGATTAACATCAACCTAGTGAGGATCGGCACGGCGATACTATTTCGCAAAAATTGTTTAGTGCCACCCTCGAGAACGTGATGTGAACACTGGAATGGGAGTGAAAATCGATGGTCAGCAATTTCACCATCCTTACTTTGCTGGTGACATCGTTCTTATAACACCAAGCATTAACGAGGTGGAGCAAATGCTTGCCCACTTTGATAAACACTGTGGAAAGATCAGTCTTCGACTAAATCTCAGAAGAACGATATTCATGAGAACCGGATTGGTTTCATGTGTGCCATTCACCGGATTGGTTTCATGTGTACCACTCAACGGAATGGGTATCCTCGAATTCTCCGACGATGTTTGTCTAGGTCAGGAAATCAACGTTATAAACGACTAAGCCTCAGAGTCCAGAAGGAGGAAGAAACTGACCTGGGGAATTTTCAAGATCACCGAGGATGTGGGCAGGAGTGCACAGAACACACGAGTATGTATCCACATTTAGACCATAAAGTTCCTTCTGGCTTAACGTCCACGTCGGAAATCCGATGGCAAGGTAAGAAGTGAAAGATCATTTAGTGCTTTTGACTGTACCCTTAACACGGCGATGCTGGGAGTGTTTCGTATCATATATGTGAGATAGGGAATACGATGTTCCAACCTGGGCTTAAGAAAGGTCAGAGAGGTTGCCTCACATGATGAAATACTGAAATTAAAGTCAACTACACTACACGGCACACCTGCGAAACACATGGCACAAGTGAAAATGAAAAGACTTTGCTGAACAGCAAAATAGTGCAAATTTGGCTTAACAGATGTGCAAAATAGAAGAGCACGTGGTTAAACACCTTAGGAGCGACCCTATTGTTGAGCAATTTCGATTTTGAACGACTTTTTGAGTGTGCTACACCAACGGTTCTCGCGTGCTTAAGGAAGCCGAATGTATAGCGCATCCTCAGTAATGGATCAACGTTGAGAGCTTTGTCTTTTTATCTTTATGTTACAGCAGTGTTTTCCTGCATAAGATCCATATGGTTTAGATTGAGTTGTAATACATTCATTCAGGCATATACAAGCTGGATACCACTATGCTAACAAACGCCTTCTACTTGAGTCGGTAAATATACGGTGCTCTGATATGATTTCATCAAGGTAGTTGGTTTCGCGGAAGGCAGTTCAGAAGTTTGAATTTCGTTAACATACGAGTTACACTTTATTCCCAAACAAAGTGTCAGGTATAAGACAGTCGAGCTTTAATCTATACCGTATCTGTGATATTCTCAAATAACGTTGCACCACCAAATGAATTCCTTGAAACTTGACATCGTATAAGAAAATTCCCTCATAACATCATCGACCGTCGACTCAGTGGAAGCTTCAAGGCGAAAATAGTTCACATTTGAGAATTGTAATTTTCAATGGTGAGCGGGAAATTTTAGGCAAAACTGATAGTGACCATGATCAGTAGTTCAAAGGCTGGCGAAGAAACCAGTAAAGAACGAACTGGTAGATGAAAAGGCTACAGTGGCTATCGAATGAAAGTATGTAATGATGAAAATGAAGCGATAAAATCCGACAGAAAGAGTACTCGTGGTGCAGTTGTAAATCCAAATTAGTTGAGGGAGTTGACGAGCTAGACTTTATCGACATAAAAATGATCTAATGTTTTCATATCATACTGAGAGAACCTTAGGGCGCGTGTGGCGCAGTAATTGGAGGCGCCATTGCGACACACACGTAGAGTCGACTCTCGTGCCTATGGCCCAACAAGCCTCTGAGCCCTCCGGGGTCGGTAAATTGGTACCAGGCTTGTCTGGTAGGATGTCAGCACTGGCTCGATACATCGGTAGGCCACCGCGAGTCATTATAAAGGCCAGATATGCATTCAATTACATCCAAACGATTCCTAGTGAGGTCGAATGCATGACGCAGGGATTGCTCAGTGATTGATCAACACCGAGAGCTTTATCCTTTACCCTTTATTGATGCCTCGTCGTTTTCTTCTGTTTTCAGAAATTCATCAACCGCTACCAGCATTGTAAAGATCAAACGCCACCCACATTTGGGCTAAATTGTTTATCATTAACTTCAACTTTCGTTCTGTGTATTCTTAGCACCGATATCTATAAAGTTTTCACATACTCTTTTCACGCCTCCTAGGAAGCTCCACAAGCGCGACGGCATCAAGAGCTTTACAATGCCTGATTCAAATTAAGAGAACCAAATAGACCATTCTTTAAAACCGCCCACACCTCAATGTAGAGGGCGCCGCGTTCAGTGACTTTTCCTAACATCTCCAAAACTTGGACAAAAAATACATTTGGATAGATTATTGAAACATTTATTCTATTACTAATGCAATATACCATTCTAGTAATCACCAATTTCGTTTTTCCATAAAGGGAACACTTCCATTCGACCGGTTCGGGCGTCGGTGAAACGATAGAGGTGATAACAACGCACTAGGTCGGACAGTTGACGGAACTAAATGCTTGCATCGTAGAAAACCGCTGCCGAATCGGTTTTCAACCAATCAGTGGTTTAGTGATTTTTGGGCGAAAAAAAACGCTTCAAAAATACACCCAGTCATGCACTACTCTGCGATTAATGTCAAAGGGCAAGAAAATGCTAGAGTTTTCGGACATCAATAGGTTCAAATCCTCTCATGTGTATCCTCTTTCGTTGCCAGTCACCTTAGCAAGAGCTAACACAAACAATCACAGGAAAGAATATGGTAAACGTCCAGTGATTTAGACGTGTCGGCTCGGCAGCCTAGACGGTGACTACCACAGTGATTTAATTCGTTAAAGTTCTCTCACCGTTCATTCACAAGCCATGTGCAGAAGAAGATCCGTTGAATAACTTTGTTTCCACACTTCGACCAACGGATCTCCCTCACACAAGGAATCTCGAGCCGCTTAGTCGCAAGGCCACGTGGCACGTCCCTAGGTGGCGAATGGGGGTTAGTCGCGTAGCAAAGGCGACTTTTGCTTCCCTGAGACGCAGGTGGATACGGGGTATGGACTCCCTATTTCTGCAGCACCGATTTGACACATTCTTGATACTTGATACTTGAACGAACCGTCATCATTAGTTGTGCGGGTCCCAGTATAATCACCACTTTTCGGAGATTTGCTGGCTAAGCCATTGTGGTTCTCTGGAATCCCGAGGACAGCCTGACCAAAGTCTGGCCCAAGTCGTCACCACGACAGACAGTGGCAGCCCTTGTGGATCAGAGGGAGATTTCCCACCACGCAACTCTGATACCAGGTTGGTGGTGGGTCTTTGTGTTGGTTTACTCTTAGCTAGGCTTCTTGATGGAAACTCCGGACTCATTCTCAGCATGGGAGACTCTGCCAGAAAGATGAATACCCCGTTTTGCATCGCAGCCCGACACCCAGGAACACCTCCCATCCACGACCGGTAAACCGTTTAGAGAACTACTTAGATTAATATAAAAGAATAAGTGATCTCAAGCACAGGAAAAGTTAGCAGCCCTTGTGGATCAGAGGGAGATTTACCACCATGCGACTTTGATACCAAGACGGTGGTGGATCCTGGTATTGATTTACTCTTAGCCGGGGTTCCTGATGGAAATGCCTGCACATATGGATTTGGCACATACTTTCCGTATTTGGGAGGCGTATTCATGCATGCGTGCGTGGATGTGTTCTCGTTTATGCGGATTGTATTCTACGAATAAGTTTGGCCAAAAGCATGCAATCAAGTGGCAGGGGAGTATACAGAGGTGGTTTGGAGTCGCCTACAACAAATAGCTCCCCGTCTACTCGAGGAGAGACGGGTGAGCTACCTGCGACTATTCGCTGCAACCATGTTCAGAGCCTAACAATTTACACATGGGAATCAAAAAGCTAAACGCAGTACAATAAACGGACCTCATTTTTCTGACCCCGAGATAGCCCTCGATTCGGACGCGTTGGATAGGACAAGTACGGAAAGGCTGCTAAAATCTCAGGGCCATTCTAAGTGGCCTAAACCACAAAGAACTAAGGCGACGATCTGTACCTACAATGCAGGTACACTTGCATCCGAGTCCTCGATAGAAGCCTTGAAGATGCAAGCAAGAAGGAAAAGGTACAACGTCATCGGGCTGGTCGAGACGAAGCGATGCTACTCATTCGACGTCGTCTGTGGCACCGGAAAAGAAATGTTCTTCGGAACATGTTATAGTAGAAGAGTCGGAGGCGTCGGCGTTCTCGTCAAGAAAAGTTTGTTCATGGATATCGAATTCTTTCAAACAACTAACAACACGAATCGAACGTTTACGATTGAGGAGATGTGGATGAATACAGATTTTGACAACGTTTGTGGTTTACGCACCAACATTAACATTACGCACAACAAGCAATGACGAAGAAGAAGTCGAAGCGTTCTAAATGGACTTGGAGAAGTTCTACGGAAAAGACGTTATACTCATCACTGGAGGTTCTAACGCTAAGATTGGACCAAAAAGAACGCCTGAATCACGTTGGGAACCACGGATTAGAATGGAACGAGCTTTGAAGGTATTGCCTTACCGACGTCGCTATTGTTCACTGTTGTCTCAAAATTCCAGACGGAATCAAACCACTGCCTCTTTTGTACAAGATTTCACTTTTCTCGAAATGGATGAAAAGCCGCTAGATTAAAAAAATCCCAAAGCCAGTAAGAACCGGAATTTATTCAATCCACTTGTCGGCTGTTGGGAAGATGCCGTTCTCGATAACATCGACGAGGAATACGATCGGCTCATTCAACATCTTCACGTTAGCGCTATGAAAGCTGAGAGTTCGAAAGTCACCAAGTGATGTCTGTCGCCAGAAAACCCGAGCTGATACGTCAACGCGGAATTGCATGAGCCGCTGGCAACCGCCCACCCACGTTCCAACTCGTAAAACAATGCAGACAGGCGATAAAAGAAGGCCTCAAATTGAGAAGAGCAACAGCTATGGTCGAAGATGGAGAGGATGGGAAAAGCATTCGTAAAGCCCACCGAAGCCTAGCTAATTACAAGACCAAGATGAGTGCACTTCGACGTCCAAAGGGAACATTTACAACGTCCAGAAAGGCAATAGAATAAATCATTCACGAATAGTGCTCAGATCTCTTCGATAGCCACGTCCAGCTTCCGACGTATAAAACAAAGGAGGATGGATACGTTGTAGCACCTATTCACCCTTCCGAAATCCGACATGCTGTTTCGTCGGTCAAAAATCGAACAGCACTAGATATGAACAGGATAAGATCTGAACACCTGAAGGACCTGAAGGAGAAAAACACCAGTTCTCGTAAACACACTGGCCTGGCTCTCTGCACGTTACCTATTTGAACACAAGGTCCCTACTCAGTGGAAGACCAGCAAGAACGTGCTATTGTTCAAGAACGGTACCTCCACAAACAAACAAGGATTCTTGATGAGCTGTACAAAAATTTCACAACCAAGAAAACACCATTCTACAACGATATTAACATCGACGCCAAAAGAGGAGTTAGACAAGGAGATATTATCTCACCAAAAACATTGGAATGAGACAACATGGAAGTGAAAATCAATAGACAGCAATTACACCAACTTCGCTTTGCTGATGACATCGTTCTTATAATACCAAACACTAGCCAAGCGGAAAGAATGCTTGCCGACTTTGATAAAGCCCCTTCGAGGTCTTCGACTAAGTCTCACAAAAACGATGTTCATGAAGAGCGGATTGGTTTCGCGTTCCCCATTCACCCTCAACGGAACGAGTATCTCCGAATGCTCCAGTTAAGTCTATCTAGGTCGGGAAACCAACATTTTGAACGACTTAGCTCCAGAGTTGAGCAGAAGGAAACGATATTGGAAAGCTTTCAAGAGAATAGAGGATGTAGTGAAGAGGACAATGAACACCCGACTCCGTGCCCACCTTTTCGACTCAACGGTACTTCTTGCCCTAACGTATGCGTCAGAAACCTGGTCGCTGCGTAAACAGGATGAAAAACCACTCAGCCTTATTTAAAGCGCAATTGAAAGGACGATGCTAAGAGTATCCCGTGTTACACAAGTGAGGGAAGGGATCCGAAGCTCCGACCAGCGTCGGTGATCAAAAATCAAGATGCCGCTCTATACGCCAAACAGTCGAAGATAAGGTGGGCTGGATACGTAATGCGTATCACAACCGATGGACAAGAGCCGTTAGTGGCTGGATTCCTCGCAATGTTAAACGCACTGCAAGAAGACCACCGGCTAGATGGTCAGAGTTCTTCACGAGAAGCCTAGAAGAAAGATATGATGCTCAACCAGTCCATAGAGCGAGCGAAATACACTGGGCTCTTCTTGCATGCGACAGAGAAAGGTGCAAGATTTACTGGCTGGCGCTCGAGTCACTCGACGATCAACACAAGTACAGGTGACAAACGAGGTAGTGCATTTCGACAGCAGCCTCAACTTAACTGGCTTCAATTCCGATTTGTGCTCTCCAGACCATTCTCGCATCCGAATGATTGCTGATGACTCCTTCAGAGTAAAAAATTTCCTGAGGAAAAAAAAGGCAAAGTAGAGGCTTCCATGAATGCAGTAGGTAGCACGTGCCTCACCGGAAAGGGTAATCGTTGTTTCGAAGCTGGTCTGCGTCCTGAGATTTTGCAAATATCTTAGCATCATTGTGGTTGGGATTCTTGTCTGTTATTCCTCAGTGAAAATCCTGTATGTCTTAAGTGCTGACTGTTTAAAGATTCTGCTACACACCTTATCTAAGGGCTGACCTTTTTATCTTCGACATGAATAGTCAATATCTTGTTGTATTGATAAGCTTATTTGAGCTTATTACAAAATTTCACTGTGGATAATGTTTCGGCGCCTTCGCAACTTATTTATTCCGGAACCCACGCAGCAAAAAATTGCCGTTGTTAACACTCGATGCCAACCACTGCGAAGAAAACGAAGGCGATGTCGACGTCGTATCAGTTTATCAATACAAGAGTTATTGATTGCTGTACAATATTGAAAAAATGATAACCTAAAAGTAATAGAAACCTGTGGCAAATGCACCGGCCGCGTTCTGTGGTTTCCGGTTTGAACATACCACCACTTCGATCCATTAACTTCTGTGTAACGGACAACGGGAAAATGAAAAAGCTGGAAACCATTCAATTGTCGGAGTTTGCTTGAAGAATAGTTTTCTACCAAAGTGGTGCATTCATGACTAGTATGAAACAGAAATGCTTCTTCGTATTAATACTTCCTTATAATAACTTGCTATTTTGTTGTTTTAATGAGAGGAATAACACAGGAGGGCCTGTCACAGTCTTACGGTAACTATTGCTGCTCATGTACATGCTGCCAGTACTACAAGGCTACTCTGCGATCTGCTGTGAATCATGAAGACGCTCTCTCAGCTATCAGCAGCAGTGGACAAGTACCACGTTAACAGAAAAATCCTTGCCTAATGGTGAGTCGTTCAACTTACCCAACTACTTTAGAACCTATTTAACAAAGCGAACTTAGGTCGCGACATTCACGAAAAGTAATGGATCGAGGTGAAAATGTACCCAAACGGTTATCACTGAATTCAACTGTTATCGATTTGAAACCAATTTCAGCCACGAATTAATGTTTTTCTCTTAATTTTTTAACCCCGATCACCTGTGCTCGTTCACTTCACATTCATTGTTGTCATTGTCATTGTAGATGTGCATAGTCTATTGTGCACCACTTCACTTTTCGTTATGCGTGGCTGGCTCATTCAACACATACTTTCGTAGCAGTAAGATATAGGATAAAGGATTTAGCTCCCAACATTGACTAGTCCCCGAGGGATGCTTCATGAATTCGACTTCAATAAGCACCGTTAGAGGTGATGGAATGCATATCTGACAAGTAAAATGAGTCGCCGTGGCCTACAGATCTATTAAGTGAGTGGTGCTGATGTTCTCCTAGACAGGTCTGGTACCAATTTACCGACTCCGGAGGGATGGAAGGCTCGATGAGTCTGCAGCGCCGGACCCGATCCATGTGCATTGCAGGGCTCTCTAACCTTTGGTAATAAGATAAGTATCGCTAGTAGGAGAATTGAACAATAGTCTACGAAGTCGCTATCACCTTATTTCTCGTGTTTCGATGCGCCAAACAGAGTGGTATGGTCACATCCAATTCGTTGTCATCGTCCTTCCTATAGTATAACACAAAATCGTCCGGTTTCACAATGGCGCCGGCCTTAAATCAAGATTCCTAAAATGGTGCTAACAATTTTTTCACCAACATTGATGACCACTACGAAGCATCGACTTAGAGGTCAGTCAACTGCTAGTAGGTAGTGTGCCTCCACTTGTAAAAACCAATAAACCGATAACACATGGAAGCAAGCAGACGAGCTGCTCACCTCGTCACAGGTGCGGACGCCAATGAAGTGCTCCTCAATTCGTGGGTCGGTCGTAGGACGTTTCTTAAAAGATGACACAGGAAATTACGCACGTATATTATTGCAAGCTGTTAAGACTTTCTTTTTAAAATTAAGGCACGAAGGCTAACATTCGATGGAAAAAAATCAATCAACAGGCTCACGTCGATTTGAGCTTGTGGTAAAGGAACGAATGTCGACGAGTCGCTTTCACATACATACACTGGATCCGTAATTTCAGAATCCTGATAACGAATATCGTACGTGTCACCAACAAAATACGATAAATTCTTCTCGGGACTAACTCACCGGGACAGTCCATCCAGTTGGTTCGCAAACGTAACAAGCTGGTTTACGTTCATGTTCGGAGATATTCGAAGACTACAATCCAGTGTTACTAGTTAACTTTGAGAAAAAGTAAGAAATTGTTCAGAAAGCTAGGATGGTCTTGTTTGACAGTAAAGCGAACAATAGAATGAGATTGGTTACATCGAATTATATATGAAATAGTGGTCTTCCCAAAGGTGTTTTCTCATGGGATGCTAAGAAAATCACGTTTTTCCCATACATTTCTACTACCAACTAGTAGACATACGTTTGACCAAAGACTCACGCTTGAAGAATAATTCTTCTTTTTCCTTTGCTTTTCCTCATCTTTTGCTGTTTTTGCCTAAAGGTTTCTTCAGATCATGCAAGTTCTCCCGAATAAGAAGAGACCGATATCACAATCACATCCTATACACCATCCTCGCTTCCTATTGCTCAATGTCATAAGCCCCAGTTTCATGTACCGACTAAATCGTCAGGGTTTACTAACCCACGTCTTCTGAGCAATCAAACAGGCCGATAGAGGTGCCGAACTTCACAAGTCACGAATAAGCTCACGAACTTTTTTATTAATTATATAGAGCGGTGTTTAGTACGAAATACAACACCACATGTCTTACCCAAAAACGCTAATGTTATGCCACATGCGCTCGAATCACTGATACTCTGCATATAAATAAAGGTTTTGACCCATGAAAAATGTCATCAACGTGAACAAATCACGTTTCATAGAACATGTTTTTGGGTTTCTCTCAAGTGCAAGCGGTCGACAAAGAAGTTGATTAGACTACGCACCTCTTTTCCTGAATCTCGACCGCTGTCACTTGGTTTATCCTTAGGAGTGTTACGATTTCTTGAACTAAAATTAGCGTGAGTTTCTTTACGTCTGTACCACGAAGCCGTTTATCACTCACCGTTCAATATTCTTCCCTTCGTAATAGTTTCGTGAGCTTGACCTCATTGTAATTGGTCACTGTTCTACGTGAATACCTGCGTAAGAATGAGCTTTACTCATTATATTTTCCAACGCTTCGAAGCCGCTCGACAATGATACGAGTGTGTTGACGCGTTAGCACTTGCTTTTCACTCGCCTCTGTTTGTTTAGAATTCTAATCAGGGAACTTTTGTAGAGTAATGGTTATAAGCGCGCTTCAATACCAAAGGATCGGCCCTTGGTTCGATCTCGGTCTCCGGGTCCACATCACCCAGGGTCCCGAAAAAAAATATGCGAGTTGTCTGGAGGGATAAAAACGCTGACTTCAAACATCGAAAGGCCGCCGTAATTCATTGCATAGATAGAGCACGCATTCGGTCAACTCTTGGAAGGATGAGTGCATTGCATCTCTCAAGCGTTGACCACCACTGAACGCATTATCCTTTATCCTTATTACATTTGTGTCTTATTCACATAGTTTTCACTTTAAAATTTTTTAGCAGTGTTTAATTATATTTGCTTACTTTATTCGTCTAGCGTTCGACGTCTTCGTCTTCCTCAGAGCCGATGACACGTGTCGATGTCCGCAGTTCTTAGTGCTCTCGGTGTGGTGTCCTTGTTGTCGTATCGAGTCGGATCTTCTTCAGTGGAGCGTCGTTCCAATGAGGCGGCTCCACCAGGCGATGCTCTTTTTTAGAGGACGGTTGTTGTATCATTGGTATTAATGGCATGGAAGTGTACCACGACTACTCCATTAAATCTTCACCTCTTCCACTTTTTCCAGATGAATCAAGAATAATGTGGGAGATAACACGAAGAAATAACTTGTTTTGAATAAACAATCGCTATCAGGTTGCAGGTGCCAACGAACAGCTTTCCCTAGTTTTAGCCCTCAATCACCTGCAGTTCCGATGAGCTAAAGGAAAAAGTCGTCTTATGAGCCTGTGACCATCATGATGTTGTCCTTGTTGTCGTTATACCTTAACATCATTATATCAAGTTGATTCTATCACGCCGTCCACTCTTCTCTTTACAGACTAAGGTGGAGGTACTGCTTGTGACGCCGTTTCAGTTTTTCTGAAGCTGCCAATAAATCCACTGTTTTTTTCGAGCAAGTAGACAAGCGAAGAGGAAACATATGTGCCAACAATAATTGCACAGATGGCAGCAAACCGTACCCCAGCTTCATAATTGCGTACAGCACTGCACATCCAGTTGTATAGGGAACGATACCAGTAACCAATATCACCTTTTCTCCCGTTTATCGGCGAACGAATGAAAACGTAGCCAACAAAGTCTATATTTGTAGCAGTCACGCACATGGAAAGCCAACTAAGTTCTGTTCGCTCTAAGGAATAGGTAGCTCATCTTTTTTAGTACACAAGGGATAGATCCTGGCGCCGCAGGCTCAGCAAGCATTCCATCCCTCTGGGGCCAGCAAATTAGTCCCAGGCTTGCCTGGGAACATGGCAGCGCTGGCTTAATACGTCGGTAGGCCACCGCATGTCATTCTAAAGGCCATATATGCATTCAGTCACGTCCGGCAATTTATAATGGAGTCGAATGTATGGCGCATCCCTAAGGGATTGATCAACGCCGGAAGCTTCATCTTTCTTTTTTATCACAAGTCATAGAATTCTGTCGGGAAAACTATCTGCTCCTTGTACTAACTTTACCGGTGTTTGACAGCGTCGAAACAAATGCAATCCTATCAGTGTTCGGCGACCAAAAGATGGACCCCTCCTATATACCAACGCTAGCAGACTGCTATCGGAACTGTGGCCCAAATACACAGCTTTTCTCTATATCGTTGTTGAGCAAACAACCTCTAAATCGAATTCTCACCATATCCAAAGAAAAAGGGGTTCAACAAGACGATACAACACTGCTGAAGTAGTTTACTGCCTCACTTTAATGGACAATGAAGTCACTCGATTGAGACGAGAAGTGCATACGCATTGGTGGAAAATTGCAATCAAATCTTCGTATTGGACATTGCATCGTCATCATTCGAGGAGTACCACTAAACCAGAAACGATGATCAATAAAATCAAGGAAGCGAAAAAAAATTGGTTTGAGCATAAATAAGGCGATGACCCAGTTCATCGCGAGCCCATCTTGTACAAGGAAACCATAGTTGCTAAACCAGCAAAACTCTGAAAGGTGGAAATTATGCTGGGTTCCACACATCCAGTGAAGATGGACCATCCAAGTACCACGTACGTGTACGTTGGACATTCAATGAACGTGGAGAGCAACATGAAGGAGGAATTAGGTAGAAGGAAAAGATCAGTATGGTCTGCATTCGGGCCACTCAAGGAAGCCATCGACCAACTAAAGGACCAAAAATCCGAGCGCACGTTTTTGCTTCAACGGTCCTTCCAGTGCTCTGTTATGTAGCCGAGACGTGGGATGTCACCTCAACCACGTCAAGAGTACTGTGCACCTCCCAAAGAGCACCTGAGCGATGTCTTCCGAAATTTAACCGACCCTCAGAACGTATAGATGGAATGTGTAGTTCAAATCTTCAGAACCCTTCCCATCTTCGGGATCAAGAACGGCGAAAGGCAGATGATCCTGCCACATAATAAGTGGAATAGATAAAAGACGAACGAGGAGGACAGTGGAATGGATCCTAAGAAAGCGCAGGCGTCCCTTTGGAAGACCATCAAAACGATAGACTGACGTGTTCGCGGCTAACATCAACCATCCGCATTAACAGACGGAAACTGTTCCAAGATTACGGAATGGACCTCGCCGACGTCATCATGTTTGAATTGGACCGCCACCATGGACGAAGATTGCATGGCAATGAAACGAATGGAAATTTTGCTGTGGCCCGCACAACCAGTGAAGACAGGTCATCCAAGTAAGCAGGTATGTGTCACGATAACAATGCGCCATTTGCGTTTAAAGGCACTAGCAGTGTGAATGTTTCTAGGTGCACTTCTTGGGAAGTATACTTCTTCGGTATGAGAAAAATTTTTCATAGCCAACAGCGTTGACTAGCATAAGACCTAGGACGTGACCCATTCCGGTGAAATTTCCAAGCTAACAAACAATCATGTGGTTTAAGTGTAGACTTTATGAAATAATCAAATAGCTACATTCGATAAGGTGTCTTCCTGAACACCAGTTCCTCACCGTCAACGCTAAACCACTGATCAGGTAGTCGGTCAGTCATAAAACTTATCGCCAAGAACTCTTTGCGTGCCATCGATCGTATACGAACTGAAATCGTGGATGCTAGAAACACCACCATGAACGTTCCAGTTTTGTTCTCATTTCAACACTCACGTACAGAAAAAGCAAAGATTATCTACCGACAACAAAATGTAGCATTTCCAACTTTTATCCGATACATCGGTATGAGTTATGGAACAGGTAATGAAATTCTTTACGAGTAGGAGGGCTGCAAAAGTGAAGACAGTAAAGTCGAATAGAGGATGAGAAGAATGAATTCTATTATTTTGACTAACTCTTGGTTATGGTATCCTAGTCCTGAGTGCTGAACTCCTCAAGTTTTCTTAAGTGTGGGTTTACTTAGCTAACACGATACCCGATAAGTTGGCGGTGATGGTATTGCGGGGTTTGGTTGGTTTGTTCACCCTGCAAATAGAAGTGGTTGTAATGATGACCACCGAGGGCCTAAACGATGCCTCAGCGCTTTGTGTCTACTAATCGGATTTAACTGTCAGCCAATCGATGGGCGCGATTAAAATGGTAGGAGCGAATACACAAATTCTTCCATAGGCCCCTTTTCATCGAACACTGGTTTCGCCAAATACTTTATTTTCAGGAAGGTAAACGTGTAAAAGAGGCGAGAGCGGTGTAATATACATATGGCCCGTGGTTTGCCACGCCTTAGGCAAGCCAAACTTCCATTCCGCCAAGGTCGACAAACTAGTAGCATACGTGTCTAAGCTGTATGCGATCCACCGGGTCCAACAGTAGCTTATTATGAAGCGCTGTACAAAAGCTATCACAGGATTTCGGGGAAGGTTAACTTTACCAGCATCCAAGGACATTCATTTAAAAAAACGAAGTGGCAGCCGAACCAACGAAACAAGAACTTTTGTGAATGGTGAATTCGAAACAACGAACCGAAATTAAGAACATTTAGGATCAGACAATATATGTGAAGATGAATCATATAAGACTAATAAAATTTTATTCACGTGTTCTATAACAAGAAAGCTATCACTGCAAATCACTGTGACTAGTAAACGAGAGAATACGAAGTGAACGAACAATGAAGGCAGAAGAAAAACGATTGGAAGACTATTTTACACTTCGGTGATGTCAGTTATAGATGATTCACAAGTTTCCCTATATTCAGTTCCATATAAGAACCTTAAATAACAAAGTTTACAGAAAAAATTTCGAACAGACACGCATTAATGTCAAGGTAATAATAGGAAACTAAATGGAGATTACCAGTCTGAGATTTTTCACTTGTCTGATTTGATCGCTTTTTGGGCGCGAAAAAAATACTCATGAGATTCCGACTCAGTTTTGATTAAACTCGGCGTTTCATTTCACCTCTTCTCGTATGGCGCTACTTTTGCTCGTATTTCATGAAATACAGTAGAGGGAAAAAGCACACAAGTAGGCGATCTCATGTAGGGAACAGGTCGTAACTACAGACTTCAAGGGATAGGAAAGTTTTAAGCATGATACAACAAAGGTTACCCAACCCAAATATTCATTATACCCAAAAATCAGGCATAGGCGAGCGTGGCTCAGTGGATGGAGGCGCCACTGAGACACACACGTGGAATCGAACCTCTCGCCCATGGCCCTCCGAGCCCTCTATCCCTCTGGGGTCGGCAATTTGGTACCAAACTTGTTTGGGAGGATAGCAGCACTGGCTCGATACATCGGTAGGCGACCACGATTCATCGTAAAAACCAGATATGAATTCAGTCACATACTTAATGAAGTCGAATGCATGGCGCATCCCTCAGGGAATGATTAACGCCGAAAGCTTTATCCTTTACCCTTTTTACTCAAAAATCTGCATAGAACGTTCGAATTTGGTGTATTTCAATAGTGAAATTGAATAACTGACTTTGTAACAATGTTTGCCTTTTCATTTACTACCTACTACAATTTTCGCGACAGTGTATTGTGCGAAATCAACCACAACTATGCTGAGCTATTCACAAAACTTCGACAGTGGTTCAGTTCGAACCACGACTTCCTTTTCCGGGGTCTCGTGCATTCACACAGCGCCACGGAAGCTCTAGCTCTGCGTTTCTCTCAGCCAGTTTTCCATCTATCGCTGCCATCAGCAATCACCCATCAACGGTATTGAGCTGTGGAGCGCACATTGGTATTTAATCCAGTTAAGCTGACGCTGCAATCGAAATCACAATGTTTGCTTTTTATTGAAATTGTAATTGAAAACTGAAATAGGCAGTAAATAAAAAAGTAAGCATTGTAATTTCGACTGCAGCCTCACCTTAACTGGGTTCAATGTCGATATCGGCTCCCCAGATTAATCCTGTTGACGGATGATTGCTGATGGCACTTCTGGATAGAAAACTAGCTGAAAGAAGCGCACTACAAAGACCCCCGTGGCGCAGTGTGAATGCGCGAGACCCCGGAAAGCGACATCGAGGTTCGACCTGGCCCGTGGTCCAAGCTTTGCGAATATCTCAGCATCGTACTAGTTGACTTTGTAATTGTAACAGTTAAATAGGGCTCATGAATTCCATCAAAGAGCAGTTACGTGGCACCTTTTCTAGTATTCAGTAAATCTGCTTCATATATGAAAGCCTACATGCCCTTCATAGTGACGATTGAGATTGGTTGAGTGAATCACTGTTACGTGAGTTGCAGCTCTGTAACTGGTCAATTTCCACTAGTGGTTTGTTGCAGCACATGATATGCTAAGTCACTCTCACTAGTTCAGTGCAAACGACAAAAAAGCATTAGGGCTTGGAAGGACTTGAAGATAAATCCACAAAGTCTTTCACTTGCATCAATATAGAAGAACACATCCTTCTTGAACGATTAAGTTATTTAGGAAGCCTCATCTGAATCGGAAATCAACGTCTCCCACCCTTCAATCACCAGTCTGTGCTGATCTGCCCTCACTTCCGTTGACGTCCTAATTACAGCTACTTTCGAATCGTCTTTAGTTGTCAATAAATCGGTCTGCTGTAATTCCTCCTCCGGCATTCGTGAAGGTTCGTCCGCATACGGTATATAAGTAAGGGTAATGCCCTCTCCGTTTGGTGCTTGTGGCAGGATTTCAAGTTCTTCCGGAACTTCCGGTAATGTCGAAACGATAGACGTGATTTTCGGAAAAACCAGACCATCTGGATGCGCTTTTCGGACTCGAATTGATGTTTGAGGCGCATAATTTGCTACTTCCCGACGAATCCGTGACGCCACATCATTATCGTCCGACTCCTCGCCATTTTGGTTGCTCATTCCATCGGAATTCTCATTGATCTTTTCCTCAAAATCGATAATAGCATATTCGGACTGCTCATTGATATCTTCTTCTTTTAGTATTGAACTGCTTATGCTTTCCTCTGGTGAATCGACAGTCCTGCACTGGTAATTGTCAAGCTCTTCGTAGATGTGCTCCAGTTCTCCATAAAGATCGTCCGGTAACTTCGCACGAGTAGTGCGATGTAGTGGGCGAAGGTAACCCTGTAATTCTTCAAATTAATTGTTTCTTTGAGACCATATAAAAAAACTTCGAAGTTCTGAACTAAAATATAACAACATGTTTAAGATAAACGAAACGATTTTCAGTAATTGTTAAGTCGTGCAGAGATTCAGATTCAGTGAACTTTTGGTTTTTTCAAAATATGAAAGGACGGCCATAGTTTTTCTTCACAGCTCATTCTAACTGCAGATCCACGGAATACCCAAAAATATTAGGTCATTAATGGGTCAATAAATAAGTGATAAGCTCTGCCTCAAAGTTGTTATCTCCATAGAACGCCTCCAAAACATCAGAGCGAGTGCGATCGGCCCGCGTTGAGACTTCAGAAATCAGCGAATATTCGGACTCAGCCAGTGGCGATAGAACTGGATCGTCATGATAACCGTATCCCACAGTATCACTAAAAAACAGCCATAATGTTAACGCTACAGTATACCAAATATCTTCATAAATTTCTCGTTAAAACTCGTTCCACTGAGCCTTAGACTAGTTTTCGCACGACACTACGTCCGAACTACTAAAATAGGAAGTGAACAAACACTCTTGTGAAAGGTCAAATATACATATAATAAAGTAGAAATATACATATAATGAAGTAGAAATAGATCCATAACATGGATGAGAAAAAGGCAAAACGAAGGACTCGCATGGTGGGATGGTGAACGCGTTAGCCCATGGAAAGGGGTTGTTAGCGTGCTCGCAACCCCCCTCCCACTCACCACCCGCAGTAACCAGCGGTCGGGAGTTCCAGAGTTTCGCGAATATCTCAGCATCATTATGGTTATGTTTCACATAATACTCTGCCATTAAAAAAGAGTAGGCACTAAATAAAATGTGACGGCGTTGAACAATTATTTTTGTTTCAGCCCTGGATAACTTGGGAAATGTGTTGCTCGCAGAAAGTAGATGACACTTCTTTTCTTAAATTCATTTCTTCCAAGCGTTGTAAAACCTCCTTCCTTACCAACGAGCGGGAGTGATTAGTCAAAACCTACCCAGAAATATCGAAAGCTGCATTTTTTGAGGCGCTACTGGCAGAATTTAATCAAAACATGAAATAAAAGATTGGTGGCTTTTGGAAAAAAGAGCTAGAATTTATTGTTTACGATCAGTATCCAGAAAACTTCGAGGATACTAATTTCTGCAAATAACGACTCAATGAGAGAATCATAGTAGTGATAGAAAAAGGAGTCAAAAACTGACGCGGGTTCTACCACGGCGTTGAAGTGGTTAGTCAGTTACTGCAACTGATAGAAGATATGAAGCTCTGTATAACGTTCAGTTATTCAATTGGAATGCTTCTTTCACAAAGAGAAATATGCTGAATATCTCAATCTTGGCTGATGTTAACTATTCCCATAGAGCTTTCGTTCTCCATTTGCATATATTGTTGAAGCTTCAACTCCCCTGCAAAACAACAAGACCCTCCACGGCGTTCGAGTGCATGATTTGACAGAAGAACAAACTTTGAAGAAGCAAAATTCGTATTCCTGGTTTAGGTGAGTTCACAAGCGGAACACAAGTATGGCCATCTTCTGTTAAGAAATTGATCAACACCATGAAGTTTATCTGACTCAGAAACGTGTCTTACCTATCGGACTTCTTTCACAGCTAGCACACTGGAAATCAATGTTTTAAAGTCATAGAAAGCATTGATTATAAATACTATGTTCAAGTGAATAAGAGACCACGTGTGTGGCGCAGTGGTTGGAGGATCCATTGCGACACATACACATCGATCATGGTCCACCAAACCTTCCATCCGTCCGGGGTCGAAAAATTGGCACCAGCCTTGTTTGGGGGATAGCAGCACTGGCTCGATACATCGGTAGACCACCACGAGTCATTATAGAAGGCAGGTATGCATTCATTCACCTCCAGCGATGCCTAATGAAGTCGAATGCATAGCGCATTTCTCAGGGAATGATTAACGCCGAGAGCTTTACCCTTTTATCCGTTACGTTTAAGTGATGGTCCATTTCAAAAATTCGCTATGTGCTAGCTAATAACGATACCGACTAGCGCACAGGATTCGCTGCAGACAAAAGCAAATCATTTTGAATCGATGACATGAGCAGTAGATCAACATCCATCCTGAATAAAAAGGTCCTTCAAATTGAAGAATGAGAAATCTTCATTCGAGCGATTCCATTGAAGTCAACTCGATACGTCTAGGAACACTCACGTCATGAGAATGAACCACCTGTAGGCCATCAACTCCTATCAATTCGGCTCCGAAGAAGAAGTGCCGAAACGTTAGCCAAATGAAACTACTGTACACACAACGTGTCAGCTAAAGAACTGAACTGAACTTGGTAACTGTAAAGAAAAAATCTTAGAAAATATTCTTCAACTTCATCTAAATAACCTAATTGTGGTGGAGCGCAGGCGGCATTACGCGCCATTCGGTGATCGCCGATGTGCGCTTAACGCCTCTGCCTCTTGGTTTTTCCCACTAGTTCTCATTTCTTAAAAAAAATATTCTTCAGAAAAAGGAAAAAACTTTGCTTCGACTGTTACAGAACGCGAATGAAGTAAATATTTTACTGAATCACATGTAAGGAATGATAAAACACACGGAATAATTGGTTGGTTGACTTTAATTGTGCTACCGTAACAAAATTCTATAGAGAATAAGAAAGGCAGTAAGTGTAGGAAAGAAATGTTGTGATGTCATCGAGTGATAAGGTGATAATGGCGAGATGAACAGCGTTGATAAACAATCACTGGTTAGTTCCTGAGGCAGAGAAGAAAAGCAGTCGAGAAAGAATATCACCATAATCGTGCATTATGTAAGTAGAGGTAGAAACAGGGAACTAGAAGAAGACGGGGATAATCAGAACAAGTTCAAATACGACGGATAAACAGTTAAATTTCATTGGACAAGCCGATATTCGACCACCATAAAAGACTTTCTGAGTTCCGAACGAACATATTAATGTCAATAAAGTGTCTTATAACACATCGAAGCAAAGCTATTCAATTTAAAAACACTTTTCAGCCCATCAGATCAAAGTTCTAAAGAGTTTGTCAAAGTTTCGGTTCCTAATCCAAAAAAAATCGACTTGTCGGTCGGAGACGCATTAAGCGATCGATAAATTGATTTCTACTTGGCAGTTCAATCAGATTTAAGAGCAATTTAAGCGCTAGAATCTTCAGCATGGTCACAGAAGAGTGAGGTATAGCAAGAAAAAGGCGATACGTATGTGTATAGTAAAGCACTTGATTAGAGGGAAAGAAAGGAAAAATGCTTGATGCACATTGTAGATAATTTAGTGCTTTTTACCTAGCCTTAAGCAAACAGATTTAACGGGAAAATTCGATTAAGCTCTTATATTTTGCTTTCTCAATCACTAGGGCAAATTTTCAAACACGGGAAGATTTGTCTACTGACAGACTCGATCCACCCGTCCTCATCACTTCGTGTGTACCTCATAATCTTCTAACCACTTAACCAATATATTAGATTTTTTAAGTACGACCTCTTACAATGCTTGAAAGAAAGAAATCAATCGAGATTACAGGTGGATGGCTATTAAGCTTTCTTTCAAAGAATTCTTTTCAAAGCTCTTACAATTGCGCGACGACGTTCTGCATGGCGTCGCGTGTTTGGTAGAGGTTGAAAATCTCTTGCGATTTCGCTCGTAACGGTCCGGCGCCCGGTAAAAGATTGGGATCCGGACGCAAAGCGTATTCCACAGATTGGAAGCCAGCAGATGCGTTGTTATACTTGGACGGTGTGCTGTGATCTTTGCACAGTCGTTGATCCACAGGCGATTCGCTTCGATGCCGATGTCGACGTAGTTCATCGTCGTTGTTTCGTCGTCTTCGGTACGAACTATGAGATCGTCTCGAACGATGTCGTTCAGGGGGTAATGTTGTGACTTTATCAAACCATGTGCGGTGCTTCTCGAAATAGTGTGCACTGGGGAAGTTTCTACATTCTGGACGGCTATCCTTAGGAGAATGAGGAACAGTTTTTGCAGCGCGGCGCACTTGTTCGTAACCGGAATTCGATGGCTGATTGAGAATCGGAGTCTCATGTTGATTAAGATAATCTACGCTTGAGTCAGGAATCGCAGGATGGCACGCCAGATCGTGGAAATCACTCGTCGAGTGAGGTACTTTTGGCTGCATTGTGGTTTCTCGGTATGTTGACCTGAAAATACCCCATAAAATGATGTCATCTTAGACCTTGTCTCAAAAATTACTGTGAGAGCTAAGTGAAACCTTCCACAACTACCTGCTAAGATCGTCCTGAGAGCCGATTATGAAGGGATGAGAGACTTGTGAGAACTCGGTCGGCGACTGGACGAGATATGCAGATCTATTTGCCTCGTGATGCGGTAGTAATCTGTTATTAAAGATAGCCTAGAATTAAATCAAGAGCTACGTAAATGTGAAAAATATTTCACGTAGATTCAAAAACAGATGAAAGGAATTCACCGCTCATTAGACGAATTCACTGTAGCTAGTTGGATCTGATGGGATGCTAGAGGTTGTGGTGTGGTCATCGCATTTTTGTACGGTGACCGAGGACCAGAATAAGGATCGTAGCTGAAAAATGACTAAATTCGTTTCTAGATACAGACTTCGAGAAGGAAAGAAAAATCACTGGTGCAAACTACTTCCACAATTGAACTTAAAAGCGCGTGCAGATACTAAAACATACACCGTAACCTTCTTTGCCCCTCCCTGTTCCTCAACTAGTGTCTTCTTCCATTGAACCGCTTTCCCTGGATGCGTTGCTGTTTGTATCGGACGATCGTTGATAAGCGTTTCTATCCTGGAAACGTTTTCCACTTCAAATTCCCACCTCGCAAACATAGAAATCGAAAGGTAAGTGTGGCAATCTCATCCACCCACAATGAACTAACCTTTGCGTGGTCCACTTCTCATAGGCGGGACCATTGACACGAAGCATCTGGGGTCGATCGTCAATGCTTGGAACTGGAGGTGGAGGTAACGCTACTAAACGCTCCGGATTGGCAGGATCCAACTGAACATAAGCTTAAAGACCTCCATATAGACTTTGTAGAAGCTTTTTTTCACAGTTTGCCGATGAAAGTTATGTGAATCATTTTCGATAAAGGGAAAAACGGAAGAATGATCCATGAGAATTTCAGCTACTTGCCCCATAAACTTTGAAGTACTGTTTGACGTGTTATAAAAAAATTTTCATAACTAACAACAGCGATCACCAGCAGACCGAGAAAAAATTCAACCACTTACCGGTGTTCGGAACACCTCGACGGTAGTGGTAGTAGTAACGGTGTCGCTGATAACCGCGTCAGCATTTCCTGCATTCGAACGGCGAAGGCTCGTCTCGTAACGAACTGGATCAGGGCGACCCTACAGGAAATTATAACTGGAATAGACCACAATGAAATGCCTTGAGGCTGCTATGCGGTTTCCTAGACACCAACGTATCCACGAGCATTGAGAAAAACACGAATGCCATAATATTCAAGCAAGACGAAGAAATATCGAAAGACACATGCTTGGTGTTGATTCCACCTAGAAACCGACTAGGTAAAAATCTCCGAAGGAGATCTTCACATTTGCCAGCAGAAAAAATAAGAAGCTTTTTCTTCAACAAGGAAACACTTTGGAGAAGTTCTTTTTCGAAAACAACTTCAGTCCCATTCCACTAAAAATTTGATCCATTGTGTCTTTACTAATGACAGTTCGCAGTTCAACGGAATAGGTTAGTGGTATCAGTAGAAACAACATGCTATCCAGCACAACAACCGAGGGCCCCGCTATTTCTTTCTCCCAACAAGTTTTTTGCTCTGTCGGTATTACCAACAGTCACCCATCAACGGGAATGAGCTAAGGAGCATAAATAGACACTCACCCAATGAAGCTGAAGCTGCAATTGAAATCACGATGACCTAAGTTTTTACTCACTCCGTACCTTTTTTCAAGGCAGGATACTATGATATTGACAAAGGCATAGACATTGTAGTTTCGACAGCAGCTTCAGCTTAACTAGATCCAATGTCAATTTTTGGTTCCCAGATCATTCATGTTGATGTGTAATTGCTGATACTATCGATAAAAAACGCTGTTTAAGAAGGGTCGGTTGAGAGAATTCGGTAACGATAATTGAAATGCCACCGAGTAATCTAAGACGCCAGCTACTTCGTAACCGCCTATACGACCGTCTATGTGCAACGAAAAATTGCATAATTTGCCCTAATGGTAGAGACGGTGACTGCATGAGTTCGGGTATAGTCTATCTGATCTCTTGTAAAGTGTGCGGGGACGAATACGTTGGTGAAACAGGTAGACCACTCTGCGTAAAAGAACACCTAGTCGGCAAACGAAACGAAACACTCCATCACGCAGAGGACGTAGAGACATAACGGAGAAGATTTTGAAGTAGGGGTTACGATCCTCGCGCAGGAATCGAGAACACAAGCGCGCAAAACTCGAGTCATTCTGGATTAATTCCAAAAATCCGGAAATGAACCGTAGGGAGGAATACCTCATTATCACGCGTGATATTGGCCAGTATGTAAGCCTGTTATTCTGATGAGATGAGCGCATTACGATTCCATGTGAACTCTATGCGATTGGTCTCCACGTGGCATATTTAGTGGAAGACTCATAGAAAGCAGTGAGTGTTCAAAGACTCTGTGTTCAATGTGTTATTGATGTATGCTCCAAAATAAGCAGAAATAAAAGAAGCGATCGTTAATTACTTTTAGTGCACCTTTGCGAAGTTTCAAAACTGCTACGGAAGATTGTGGGCGAAGTCGTCTCTTCGGAACTCCAGTTTGTTTAAAATCAAAGCCCATCGTAAACACCGTAAGCACTCATAAATTCTTGCCGAAGTCTCATTTTCACAAAGATTCGTTTCTGAGCACTAAGGCACTCAGAAAGCCATTAACACGCTTTGGAGTTCATCAGCTGAAATGAACTCATAGAAAAAGCTAGATTATTGATCATCACACAACATTGGGTGGCTCGCACAGAATTCTACTTTGCTTCATTCAGTTGTTTAGTCCATCATTACTATTATTATTGCTATTATTATTACTGTATTCTCACCCTCATCATTGTAGGAGACGTAATGCGCATGATGGACAACCGATGGACATGAGCCGTTAGTGACTGGATTCTTCGGGATGTCAAACTTACTGCAGGAAGGCCACCGACCCGATGGTCAGAGTTCTTCACAAAGAGCCTTAAAGAAAGAGATGATGCTCGACGAGTCCCTAGAGCGAGCAGAACCCACTGGGCTACTCTTGCACACGACAGGGAAAAATGGAAGATTTACTGGCGCCCGCTCGAGTCACTCGACGAACAACGGGGCTACAGGTGACAGATCAACGCCAAATGCCTTATTCTTTAGTTCAAGTAATAGTTGGCTACAGTTAAAATTACTAGCAGTGGTGGTAACAAAAGTAGTCAGTTCCAAAAGCTCGTTTTATAAGATTAATTTGACACGGCTTACCAGATTGAAAACATTAAGGGTAACCTTTGTCGGTTGGATGAACTCGTCTGGTGGCGAATCTTGTCTGTTAAATGAAAATACCGGTGACGGTATTCGTGGCGGCACTGGTGAATGTTCTCGTGATAATAAATTCTGCTGTGGAGAAAACGATGCTCGCGGCGGTAATGGTGAACTTCCTTGCTGTGATGCCTGTCGTTCTGGCTGCGGAGAGCTAGAAGCAACGTGCAAAGTTGGCCAACCTTAAACATCACCAAATAGACGATATGTAGTGAATATCATATAATAGACGTCTTCATATCTTATTGACCTCTCAACCATTAAAATCGCTCAGAATCCTGATATAAACTAAACCTACGGCTCTGTGTCACCCATTCCACATGCCAATGAAGCAATTAGGCTTATTACTTAGATACTTGATACTTGATACTTGAAACTTGAACGGCCTACTCTCTCTGGTTGTGAGGGCCCCAGCACAATCTCGATTTTTCGGAAATGTTCTGGTTAAACCATTATGGTTCCCTGGAATCCGGGGCCAGCTTGGCCAAAGTCTGCCCCAGGTCTTCACCATCACAGCCACTCGTAGCCCTTGTGGATCAGAAGGCGATTTGCCACCACGCGACTTTGATACCAGGATGGTGGTGGGTCTTTGTATGAGTTCGCTCTTAGCTAGGCTTCCTGATGGAAACTCCGGACTCATTCTCAGCATCGGAAACCCTGCCAGGGAGATGAATACCCCGCTTTACATCGAAGCCCGACACCCAGGAACACCTCCCAGCCACGACCGGTAGACCGTTTGGAGAACTACTTAAATTAATATAAAAAATAAGTGATCTCAAGCACAGAGAAAGTTTTCTACATCCGACATAATCGAAATGGTTCAAGTAGTAGATGAGCGCCGGTTTTAACATCTCTGGCCACTCTCTAGCTAGTGAACGCCCACTATATGAGGCATTCACACAACGAAGACCACTTGTCAGTGGCGACCATTGAGGGAAATAGCGCTTTAGTTAGCAAAGAAAATTCGCAAAAAAGACTCAGACTCATAAACCTAAAAATGAGTCCAAGGAGTCGCCAGACTCCCCCAAATACACTGACATTTCACCTGCTTTATTTCGCAATGAACTAATGAACGATGAACAAACTCGATTTCACATACTTGCCGCGAGATTCTCCTGACTTACACCGGGAACAATTGTTCGCAGTACAGCGGTGCTACCGGGTGTATCTATTTGCGGAAATCGAGAAGGTACATACCACTGTGCATCTGGAAGTTAATAAGAGATCTTCACTGGAGAACAGAACTGGAATGATCAAAAAACCAAATTTGTTGTTCAGAAAAATCCTCTTGCGAGAAGTTCCTATATAAAAATAGTACTGGTACTTCTTCTGGTGCATAATTTGCTGTGCGGGATTACACAGTAGTCAATGCACACGATTTACATAGTGTTGCGAAATTTTCTATTTGAAGGTTTATACCAACATGGTCAGCAGCCCTGAACCGACTGAAGATGAGAGACTTATCCTAATCGTAGCAAGATAATCTTTAGATATTTTTTCTCTCCAAGAGCTAAACAGGTCCATTTTAGAAACGTCTTACGTTTCCTTTTTGTTTCATGGAGAAAAATAGCCAGTTAGATCAGCAGTCAGCACGAATTTCAACACCGAGTAACATTACGTGGGTGTGTGTAGCGTACCACCTGTACCACTTGTAGTCCCGTCGAACGTCGAGTGATTCGAGCGGGCGCTAATAAATCTTCCATTTTCCCTGTAGTATGCAAGAGTGGCTCAATAGGTTCTGCTTGCTCTAGGGATTCGCCGAGCATACCTTTCTCCTAGGTTTTTCGTGAAGAACTCTGAACATCGGGTAGGTGGTCTTCCTGCAGTACGTTTGACATCCCGAGGAATCCAGTCACTAATGGCTCTTGTCCATCGGTTGTCATTCATACGCATTACGTGTCCGGCCCACCTTATCTTCAACTGTCTGGCGTAGAGAACGGCATCTTTGATTTCTGATCGTTGACGCAGGTCAGAGCTTCGGATCCCATCCTTCACTTGTGTGAAACGGGATACTACTAGCATCGTCCTTTCGACTGCGCGCTCGATAGCGCTGAGTGACTTTTCATCCTGCTTACGCAGTGACGAAGTTTCTGACGCATGCGTTAGAGCAGGAAGCACCGATGAGTCGAAAAAGTTGGCACGGAGTCGGGTGTTCTTTGTCTCTTCACTACATCCTCGATGCTCTTGAAAGCTCCCCAAGCCGCTCGTTTCCTTCTGCTCAGCTCTGGAGCTAAGTCGTTCATCGTATTGATTTCCCGACCTAGATAGACATAACTGGACCATTTGGTGATATTCGTTCCGTTCAGGGTGAATGGAGCAAACGGAACCTCATAAACATGTGTAGCGTAGTGGTTAGGAATGCCTTAGAATGCACTGAAGCTGGTTAGTTCAACGACGCCCGTCGGTCAATCCGAGTCCTCACTCGTCCGTGCCCGACAAATTGGTACGTCAAGAACTTGTCTGGGTAGAAAAAAACACGGACTTGATATATCGGTAAGCTCCCGCTATGTACTGAATTGGTAAAAAAAGGTATTTAGCCAGCCCTACATTGCTTATCGGAAACGAATGCGTAGCGCATTTGCAAAGCATTCATCACCGGCATAAGCTTCTTCTTTAATTCTCTGTATTTCTTGATTAGAAAACATGAGGTTGCTATCACAGCATTTATTAATTCCCAACAGACGAAGTTTCGGCGGTTTAACCTTCTTCGGAGTCCTGAAAGGCCTAAATGAGATGTAATCTACTCAACCAAACACTTTCATAACCCCAATAGATAAGATGTAATACATAAATTTCTCAGTCGCATCATAAATAGCTTTCTTTTAAATACTCATTGTCTTGCCATTTGGAAGTCTTACAATTATTTAGTGGAGTTCAGCCTCACAAATTCTTCAGTGGGCGAAGAATTTGCCTGGCTCAGGTCAAAAAATCAATCTGAAATATGGAGCAAAATCACGTGAGATGACAGGGCACTTTTCCTTGCGGTTTATTTCTGGATTTCTGGAATATATCCAAAACCACGATGGTGCTGAGATATTTGCAAAACTCCGGACCGCATGCGAAATCCAGAAATAAACAGCAAAGAGAAGTCCCTTGTCATCTCGCGTAACTTTGCTCCAAATCTCAGGTTGGTTTCTTGGCCTGAGCTAGGCGCATCCCTCGTCCATAGACTATATGCGGCTGGCTTCCACCAAATAACTCTACAAAGAACTTTTTACAAGTTACAAAGAACAAAATGGTTAGTGTTTAGAAGAAAGTTATTTATTGTGAGAAAGAAAAATTTATAACTTCAATGATGATGAGATGTTTGCAAAAGTCGGGACCGCAAGTGTCTGTGGTGGGGAACGAACGCGTCATTGTCCTTTCCGGGGAGTAACGCGTTCACCACGACACCATGCGGGTCCTTTGTTTCGCCTCTTTTCGTCCAAAAAAAATTTATGTTTTAAGGTCTATCTACTACGGCTATTGAAGCGTTTCGTTGAGCAGACTGTATGCCAACTTGACCATTCCAGGCTCTAATAAAGGCGAAACTTCCTCAACTTTAGCCATTGCGAATTAATAAATGAGGTAATAACAGCCTCGTGTTTGCTGATCAAGATCAACTGGTCAGTATCGAGGTTAGAAGGAAGTCGGTCCTCGGATCCCTTACTTTATCTTTTTTTATCTACTACTAACTTTGTAAAGTTCGTGAGCCGGAGTGAACACCGGCTTGAACTATGACTCCATTGTGGGCGCCGTGTGTGGTGATGGTGGTCTTCATGTTGATCACCATATGCCCGGACGGCGGCGGCCGCATCCTGAAGGCGGTACGAGGCCGATGGCCAAATAGAGATCGACCAGTTCTCTAACTGAAACGCATTAATTTCTATGATGTAGCGCGACGTTATATCGAACACGAACTCCGTAAAGAACACGAACATTTGTTAAATCACATGAAATTTGGTTCAATTAGGTATAAAAAGTGGATGAGATGTCAAGAAGAATTGGAACCATAACCGCCTAAATATTTCACTAGAAAAAATTTTGGTCAGCTTTGAACCTTACCAGATCATTTTCGTTTATATCAAAAACCAATGACTACAATCAATTGATCTGGACTTATGCTTTACGGCTTGATTTCATACAAACTAGCTCAGAACATAGAGGGACAAAATAAAGGATGAAGCTCCCGGCGTTGATCAATCCCTGAGGGATGCACCATGCATTCGACTTCATTAAATATCGCTGGAGGTGATTGAATGCATATCTCGCCTTTACAATGACTCGCGGTGGCCTACCGATATATTGAGCCAGTGCTGCTATCATCCTAGACAAGTCTGGTACCAATTTTCTAACCCCGGAGGAACGGAAGGCTTGGTGGGCCGTGGGCGCTGGGATCAATTACACGTGTCCAACGACTGCGCCACACGCGCCCTAACTCAGAACATTAGAGGTTGACATAAAAAAAACTTTCTTCAAGTATAGCTTGAAAGATGCCATAGTAAGCAGAGTATCTTAGATGAGGATTGCCAACCAAAAAACCTCAGCCCTAATTTTCAGCGACTCGGTTTAATCAGTAGGTCAATAAATCATCGTAGATCCGTATAATTAAAGCGACTAGATAAAACCCAATAGTGAGCGATTCTTCAGCGAATGACAAAGAAAATAGAAAGAATGAATAGAATGGGAAAAGAAAATAGACTCAATATCTGTCAATAAAGCAGCTCAGGTACCCAATACCATGTATTTCTGAAGAGGTCTATTTGCTTAAAGCTTGGTGTAATGGATTCCATTCATTTCTATTTCCTTTTCAAATGTTGTTTCACGGCTGTGCAATGGAAACAACATAAAAGTGGTGAATTAAGGTTCGGACTTCTATTGTTCGAACTTCTAGAAATGTTATAGCATTCGGTTTGTGATGATCTGAACAATTGTGAGGATGCAGCAACACTCGTTATCAAGAACAACCGCCCTGAATAAAAGAGCGCAGCCCAGTAAGGTTGCCTAATTCTAGCGGTGTTCCACTGAAGAAAATTTGACTCGATTCGATGAATAAGACACGTCATCGAGAAGACCAACGATAATGGACTATTAACTCGGATCATCGGCTCTGATGAAGACGAAAACGTCGGAACGTTAGCTGTATAAACATCGTTATCAACCTCGTGTTAACTCAACAATTCAAAAAGGTATTGATTATTAATCCTCACAACGGTTAACCACTGCGATGCACAGCGGTGGATTTATCCCTTGACAGAATCTCCCAAGCTGAGAAGGATTGCGGCGTTTCCATCAGGAAGCCTAGCTAAGAGTAAGTAAATCAACACCAACATCCACCACCGTCTTAGTATCAAAGTCGCACGGTGGTAAATTGGACAGGGTGACCTCGGGATTCCAGGAAACCACAATAGCTTAACCAGCAACTCCCCGAAAAATGAAGGTTATACTGGGGTCCGCACAACCAGTGAGGACGGGCCATTCAAGTATCAAGTAGGTAAGTATTGACTATTAATACCAAGGTTAAATGACGGTAGGCCTCAAAAATACACCGTCGTTTTGTGGCAACGCTATGCTCCTTATTGTCTGTGGAAATCTCATGCCTTCTATCATTGACGAAATCGCAGACACAAAACCTGATTAGTTATCAACTAATCAATTCATATTAAAATTGTGTCAGAGCATTAGATTAGTCAAGACTCATATATAATCAACAATAATTAGTCATTCAAAAAGCTACCATTACGTGGTTTTTCTACGTTAGTAATGTTTGAAAAAATTTTAACGCAAATAAGAAAAAACTAACAAATTACGATCATTTTGCGAATTTATGCAAAAAAGGCCGCGTGCGGCGCAGTGGTTGGAAGCGCCACTGTGACACACACGTGGAATCGATTCCCGCGCCCACGGTCCACCAAGCCTTCCGCCCCTCTGGGATCGGCGGATTGCTATCAGACTTGTCTGGGAGGATAGCAGTGCTGGATCGATACATCGGAAGGCCACCGCGAGTCATTGTAAAGGCCAGATATGCATTCAATCACCTCGAACGATACTTAATGAAGTCGAGGCCATGACGCATCCCTCATGGATTGATCAACGCCGAGAGCTTTATCCTTTTATGCAAAAAAAACTGCCGAGAAACAAATCTAGCACTCTTCCCGGGATGAATTCGACAAATGATCTTGTCCTTCCAAACGTTGTTGTTGGCAACCAATCTATCTCACTGCTATCAAACCGTGTAGAAAACATTTCCGTAGAAGGGATTGTTGTCCAGCAGTTAAGATGACAACTATTTGTAAGAGGAAGATATGAGAAATAACCAAGCCAACGTGGACACAAAAAAAACATCTCCATTAACAAACTTGCAACCTCCTAAAAAGAGTTTACTGCTTTAAAAAAGGATGAAAACCAGCCACAACAGAATCGAAAATTGACGCTTTCGATTCTCGCCTCTCTATTTATGTGAGTACTAGCTAAGATGGGTTCCGTGTCCAAGGGATACGAGCGGCACATAGCGACGGCTATGTCATAAACTATGTCGTTCTGGCATGCGGTAGACCATTCACATCTAACCAAACCATAAAATTCGTTTCTTCGTATGACACGGTTTCGAACATTGCTCAGATTCCTGGAATTCTTTCATTCGCTTCGATTCCTTGTATCCAACTTCTATTTAGATCTTCAGATTTGGTTTTGAAGTTACTACTTGTTTCCTTCATGAGAGCTCGTGAATACTGGTCTGTTACTGTTCGAATAAAACATTCCCCACACAAGTCTGATACCACTCCGCTGACTCCAAAGGGATGGAGAGCTCGGTTGCCACGGTGTCGAACTAGCAACCATGTGTACACTGTAAGACACCACTGCGTCTTTATCTTATTGCTGTGTTTAAGTTTTCAAATTCTTTCTCCATAATATTCATTCAACGTACCGATAGAAAGGTTTTTAATGCTCTCCTCCCTTCCCCTTCACATCTGGCCGGTATATACTTCCTGTCTTAGACTCTCGACTCTGTTTGAAATTTCTTTTTCTTCATTCTTTATTACGGCACTACCCAATGGTTTACCGCCTCATAGTGGCTTAGAGGTGTTCCTGGGTGTCAGACTGCCATGTACAGCGGAGGATTCATCCCCTGGAAGGGTCTCTCAAGCTGAGAAGGAGTCCGGAGTTTCCATCAGAAAGCCTACCTAAGAGTAAACCGATATCAGGATCCACCACCGTCCTGTTATCAAAGTCGCATGGTGGCAAATCTCCTTCTGATTCACAAGCACTGCGACTGCCTTTGATGGTGAAGACCTTGGGTTGGCTTTGGGCAGTCTAACCTCGGGATTCCAGGGAACCACGGTGGCTTAACCAGCAAATCTCCGAAAAATGGTGATTATGCTGGGGTCCGCACAACCTGTGAGGATGTGTCGTTCAAGTATCAAGTAAGTTCAAGTAAGTATCAATCGTATTCTCGAGCCCATAAAAAAACAACTGAGTAGTGGGACTAAACGCACTGAGAAAATTATCTGGATTATTATTAAGATTCGATTAATTATGAGTCGACAATATACGACGACGAAGATACCAAATCGTGACAACGAAGGATTGTGGACTATCGATTAGGATCGACGGCTTAGAAAACGAGAACGACAAAACGTTAAGTAAAGAAACCTTTCTATCAACCCCGCGTTAACTTATCAGTAAAGAAATACATATCGATCAGTTATGCCATGATTAAAGGAATGTCCATTTTTGAAATACTACTGCGCTTAGTGCTATCCGATAACGATGACGATTGCTGCAGAATGGATTGTCCGGAGAAGAACAAACGATTATTACCGGATAATCGGTGTCAACAATCGTCCCGTTTGAAACAGTTCTGCCGAGCGAGGACAATTCATTCGACCGGTCCTACAAGAGAGGACTTGACTCGATACGACTACGAAGACACCACATCGCAATGGTGAAGGACTGTAGACCATTGGCTTATTTTACTCTTTATTAAGATTGCTCGCGAATAAAGTAAAATGGCAACCTCGTGTTTGCTTATAAATGAAAAAGTGAATTATCCGAATTTGTACTGTACATCGATTTTCATTTAACCTCGGTGTGGGTGATCAGTGCACTTTCATTTATGAACTAACGCGAGGTTGCTGCCAAACGTTCATTTCGCCAACGTTTCGGTGTCTTCGTCTTCCTCAGAGCCAATAGTCCGAGTTGACGCCCAGAGCTCTTCGTACTCCCAATGTGCTCCCATCGTCCTCTGCCCTTTGATAATGATTTGAAATCTTAGCTGTTTGGTAAGAGCCTCGTGTTATCTTATCAATGAAAAAGACACAACTGGATTCCCAAGATTGACTTTCTATTAACCCCGGCACTGGATTACAGAAGTTTCGTTTTCTTTTTCAGCAATCGTGAGCTTGTTATTCAGCACACGTTTACTTTCGCATCCATATAAGAAATACAACATAACGGTAGCCGACGTTTCGGCAGTATCGCCTTCTTCAGAGCCTGGAAGGGTAAACCATTATGTAATTTACTAGGTCAAACGCTTAAACAGCACAAACAGAAAGATGAAAATCCGAAGGATAATTACACGACCAGCAGCTTCTCGAAAAAGCCATCGTTTTTTGATTGCCTCCCACCGAGGAAGAACAGCCTCTCAGAGTCGCATTCGTTAATGACTGCACCACTCCAAATCAGAAAGCAATTCTAAGATACGGGGCTAGATCACGTCTTATTTCTAGGCATTCTTCCTTGCTATTCATTCTCGGATTCTTAGCATTTATGCTAAAAGTCTCAAGAAGTTTCCGCGTTGGTGGTTTAGAATCCTGT